CTCTCAAGATTATAAATTCAAAAAATAAATTGCAACCTTCTTTGATATATACACGGTGAGTCAAAACTAAATGTTGTATTTTTCTTCTCTATTTTAAATCGAACAACCTGTATTTTGTATTGTAATCCAAAAGAGTTAAATCTGAATTTTTCCACTTCTTTTAGAAATAGTTTTAAGTACTCTTCATGATATTTGATAAATTTTAGATGGATAAATGCTGTCGTGGTAGCTTGGCATTCTGTAACATTTCGTTGTACAAATAATTTGGATAGTTTTAACTTTTGTGAATGCTACCCGTATTTTAGTGTTTTGTTACTTGTCTTTGTTCGGTTGACAAATATGTTTGACTTACTTTGATTGTTTTTTGTTGAACATATTTTTAGCTTCCGGGCCTGAAGACGGGATTGTGATTCCCGAAACAAGTTGCCTAATTTTTTTTTAAATATTAAAAATTCTAAATATTTTTTTTATATACGACTGTGACTTTGACTCTCCTGTCCCTCAGTTTTTAACTAATAAAAAGAGTTTTGTTCCTATACAATATAATAAATTCCTAAAATATACTAAAGTTCCTATTCCAATATATTAAAAAGAGTATACTTCCTATACCTAATTTAATAAGAAAACTGTCTTTTTTTTAAAATATAAAACAAGGTTTGGCAGTCGCTGTTTCAATAGTAGGCGTTTATCATTAAAAGTGTTACACATATCTACTATGTAAAGTGTGGGCTTTCCTGTAACATAATAACTATAAGGTAGCCTTCATCGGAAAATGAGATTTTAGTTAAATGCCCTATCTTCATGCATTGCGAAATTTATTTTCTTGATAAAGTCATTTAGATCTACAATGCCGAGTGGTTTTTGAACAAAAAACAAGATATAACATAAAATAGACTCGCCCAAGAAATCAGAAAAAAATCAAATCCATTTCCAATGTCACATGGAAACGTCAGACAAAACTGTCATAATAATAATAGTTGCATTTAAATACTTTAAATAGTTTTTTTCTTTTTGTATTTTTTTAATTTTTTGTATTTTTTTTTGGAGAAGAAAAAGAGATAAATTTTCCGAAACTTTAAGCATTTCTTTGCCCGTGAGGCAAATTTGTTTATTGGTAGACCACTGCTGACAATTAGTCTCCGTTGAATTAACGCAGTAGTGTTTAAAAAATAACTATTTTATTTTGTACCTTTTCTTGCAGTAGCGAAATACCATTAAGTATAGGACTTTTTTGGAGAGATGAATCCACCACATAGGTGTAGACATTTTTTAAAACTGTCATAAAATGGCCTGTCATGACATCGATTGTCTAATATCCTCTATCCTTAGTCTTTTTATTCAAAGAAAATATACCTATAAAAGTGTATAAAATTCCCATACGTGCTTATATCTTCAGTCTTTTAGATTGCAGTCTATGTATAATGTCAAAATATTAATAAAACTGCATTTTTACGCTTTATCCTATACATAAATCTTTGGTACAAAATTTTTTAATAAATAAATATGTAAAATCTTCATTTTTGTTTATTAAGCTTCCATTACTCGCTCTTTTTTTTCAGCGTAAGCAGTCCCGTTTAGTTTTTTAATACCCCAAGTAATTTTTGATGAGAAACATGAGAAAAAATAATTTGGTTGTCATATGAGTAATTATGTTGACAATTTCCGTTGACACGTTAGTCGGGAATTTACTTCAAAGACAACAGACTCACTACCAACTAGTTTGCGCAAATAAAGAAATAGAGTCTAAACCCCCCTCAGCCTTACCCCTCCTTACCTTGTGTGGTTTCTTGAAATCAAGTTAGCCAGATTGAGAAACACGCTTAAATGATTGGGCGCTATCCTCGCCTGGTAAGACTCGCCCGGTTTTGCCTTGGGCAACAAGGATTTCGCCTTGAGGTACGCTTCCTCCGCTTTCTCGTACAACTTGAGGTGGTTGTATGTGCGGCCAACGTTAATGTACGCTCCCACATCGTCCGGCTGCACCTGGACAGCGGTCTGGAAGTATTGCAGGGCTTCTAGATATTTACCTGAAAGCGCAAATAAAAGATAAAATTATACAGAATATGCCAAAACGTTCGTAATTGATTTTTTTCGTAATTTTGTAATTGATTTTTTCATAATAAAGTTATTGAAAAAATTTGACAGCTGTCATGTGGGTAAATTTTTTACCAAAAATTAAGAGTTAAAAATCCTGTTTACATAATATGTAAACAGTATATATTAGGTGTCTGAAAATTCTTTAGACCAGCCACACGTAACAACATACTTTCGCAAGCTTAAGCCGGGCTCAGACGACTCGTGCGCTTGGTAAACAAAAGTATTACTATTTCCGACGTGATAGAAAATAAAAAAAAGGTCATTTTAACGCCTAGGCATAGAAGTAAAGCACTTTTACGCATAAGCCCAAAAGTACGAAAATATATTACTCTAACAAGATTACTCTAACAACATTAAACTGACAAGTGTTAAATTCAACGAACCGTAACCATACTTTCTCGATATATAATTACATCAAGGTACTACTTTTAAATCTTTTTGTATAATTTGGAACGTTTGAAACTATTGAAAAAAATATTTGTAGCGCTTAAAATACAAATAGCATGTTCTATTCGAAGTAAAAATGACTTTTTGTGACTGGCGTGACTCAAACATACAGCCTCGCCACAAAAAGTATAATTTTTACTCGTAATAAAACTATTATTAGTATACAGGGTACGGCGAGAGTGCCTCGAGCATCAGTAGCTCCTTTAATAAACTACTTTGAAATGTTGTATAATTGCAAACCTAAAGTATGTAACGTAGATTATGTAATGTATAGTTTTCATTTCAGGGCATTTCTCGTAATTTTAATATTTTTTTTAAAAGAATGAAAAAAATAATTTTTATTTATTTATTAATACTGCTGAAACTATCAAAACATATTTAATTATATCTTAGGATGATGTAAAGTGATCAGAAAGGAAGCGAACTATTCAATAATATAGAGTGCATTCTATTTAAAAAAAATATAATCCCGATCCACTCACACATTTTTGAACCGCCATGTAGAAGTTAAAATATTTTCCTGAAATACATCCTTTTGAAGACAAAAAGTCAGTAGCGCATATATTTTTTAAGAAAAATATTCCAGTGATAACTCCAGTGATATGCACGTCCCTGGTCGACTTTTTTAGCATTAAGTTATTTCGCAATTATAGTAGCTTTTACCCCCCTTTTACAAATTTCATTCGAATCGCTAAAAGTACTTGGAAACCCCTAAAAATAATCGAAAAAATAAATAAATATTATTTTTACAAAAGGAATTTCCCCACAGGAGATGGCACATGTTTTTTAAACACCCTGTAATGAATAGTATACGGGTTCGTGGTAGCTTGTTTAGAGTTTTTGATTTTATAAATAAATATAATAACAAATTAAATAAATGGAGTGGACAAATGATATCACTTTTGAGCTCGGTTTTGTGTTTCTTGATTTATATGAAAATTAGTCCGTTATTTGGATGGCTAATATGAGGCCATACAAATCGTAAAGCAGTTAATGACTATAAATGCAGTCCGCACACATAACTATAAAGCCCGCAGCAGCAATAATTTCAGTACGTCCGCTTTTCATGTGGCTGCCACTATACTGTATACTTGACAAAGATTTTAAATCGGCATTTCATTCATCATTGTGCTGGGGTACTCGTTGAAATTAACATGTCGTGTAAGCGCCAAGCTTGCCATGTATATAATGTTGGTATACTTGTTAAAATAGTTTTTTTTCCATATTAAGGTAGTCTTTGTTCTTAAAAAAAACAGAAATTACTATAATACAAATAAAAACGTACTTCAATTTGGTTCCCGTAGTCCAGTAAATAAGGACACGAAAAGACCCAAGTGTCGGCGGAATTGGTCGACCTTGATTTTTTAGGCGGATTGTGTACCTCTAGGGTGTAGGGCTCCTGGGAAATCGCTTAAAAACGGCTCTAATGGGTCAAAAATCAGGTTTTCCGCAAACATTGGCCGGAATAGGACATGTGGATATGATTCTCATCCACGCCAAATGGATAGATCGATTATTAGATCGATAGGTACAAAAACGTCTTGACACTTTTTTTCGCAAAGTCCCAGGAAATCTGTTAAAAACGGCCCTAAAGTGTCAAAAAACGTATTTTCGCCAATATTGGCCGATATGGCATGCAGATGACATTTATGATCGCCAAATGGAAGAAATAGAAAAAATACCATTAGAAAGACAAACGTTTGAGCTTTGCATTCTTGTAAAATAGAAACCAATTCGACTATTCGTAATTATACAATTTTCTTTTGTTACGACACTTTCCGGAAATACCAAAAAGCGGAAAAAACCACTCGCGATTAGTTGTTTTTTTATTAAAATGTGATTAAACAAATACTTGAAACTTTCTAAGTTGCTTAAAGAGACTCTAAGAACAACTGTTAAAATAATCTTGACAAATAAGCTATTATTAGTAAAAATATGAATAAGTTTGTCGAAATCTCAAAATTTTTTTATCAAAGAATGTTTGCCCGGTTTTTTTATTATCATAAAATATGATATAATTCAAACAAGTTTCAAAATGTGATAGCTGTTGATTCTACCATTTAAATGAACTTTGAATCATCAAAAAATATTAAATTTTAAAAAGGGGTCCATTGAACTCAAAGAGACCTGGTTTGTAATAAAATAAAAGCCAAAGCTATAAGACTCTAAAAAAATTAAAAATTAAATCTTAAATAATCTTAAATGTTGAGACCGAGCCTTAGAGTCTTATTGCTTGGGCATTTTATCCGAGTTATTAAACAATTTGTCCTATCAATCAATGATACGCTTATGACATCTATCCACGGAGCGTTAAGACTTGGAGAGAAAATTCAGAGATTTTCGAGGCGGAATATCTCGGAAACTACTAATTCTACGTAAAAAATGATTGGGATCTTTTAATAATAGGTAATGAATGAAGATCAATTCTCTTAAAACTAAAGTCATGATATTTGGAAAGAACCAAAATGTACCAATTTCTATTAAAATAGGGGGCAATACCTTAGGACAGGTCTACAAGTTCAAATATTTGGGGTCCTGGATAGTTAACACCTTGAACAACGACATGGAAATAAAAACCAGAATAGAACAAGCGAGAAATGCATTTTTAAAAATGAAGAACGTCTTCCAGAACCCCAGATTGGACCTAGAGTTGAGAACTAGGCTCGTTAAGAGTTATGTTTGGTCAATCCTATTATACGGAGCAGAAACATGGACACTGAAAGTTCAAGAGATGAATCGCCTCGAATCGTTCGAAACATGGATATATCGAAGAATGCTTAAAATTCCATGGACAGTCCATATCAGAAATACCGAAGTCTACAACAGAATAGGCAGAGAGAGAGAATTGCTCAATATAATAAAAATAAGAAAAACATCATACTTAGGGTATATATTGAGAAATGAAAAATGCCACGTCTTACAATTGATAGTTATGGGTAAGATTGAAGGAAAGTTAGGTCTCGGCAGGAAGAAACTATCTTGGTTGAGAGACATCAGAAACTGGACTCACCTAACTTTTGAAGAACTTATAAGGAAAGCCGAGAATCGTGAAGATTTTGCCAATGGGATCGCCAACCTCCACGAAAGAGACGGCACGTAAAGAAGAAGAACTACAAGAAGTCAACATATTAACATATATATAATTATGTATGCTGAAATGAACTAAAATATATTCAATTTATAGATAATATCGAGCAACTTTGCTTTTCTATAATTAAACGTGACAACATCGACTTTTTTTGCCCGAATTCCTTCCGCTGTTTTAGATTCGTTTGTCAGATAATAGGCCGTGGTTTCAACCTTCATTTACTGGACTTCCACCCCAATTCTTCGAAATATAATTGACATAATCCTAATATTTTATGCCTAAGAGATATTTCAGATTACTATTTTTCAAATTTTCAACTTGTATAAATTGATATTATATTTTGACGTTTTTCAACTAATAAAATACAATGTAAATCTTTTTGTTTCTAACCTATCACACATTCTTTCTAATCTATCACACAAACTGGCAACGTTCCCACTAAATTCGTGCCAGTACTTTTATTTTCCTTCCATTATTGAAGAATTTGTATTCCTTGTGACGCTCTAAGATGCAGGTAGATAAACATCGTAAGGATTTAGCTTCGCACTTATTTGTTTTAGGACATTTCCTTGATTCTATCCCGTAAAGGTAGGAACGTAAAATTGACTAACAAAACATTTTTACAGCGTTGTTTTCCTACCAAAATATTTTGGCTTTATTACTCGTTCAAATTGAGTTAGAATATTTTATCACCTGTTGCTAAAAAATGCCGTATTGTTATTAGAGATCGCGTGACTCACGGAGTATCGCGAAAGTTTTATTTCCTGTCGAGTAGAGTTAGAAAACTATCTGAACTTGTTTATTTTTCATAAACTACAGAAGAGATTTTAATTTTAAGACATTATGAGTCGTTAATGGTTTTATCAAGGGTTTTATTACTATACATATGTTTTATTTAGATATTTACTCAAGTGCATATCTAGTGTTTGCAAATATATGAAGAACTTTATAGTAAGAAGATCATATATGTAATGATTACTGTTGTAATTATAGGCTTGGTGTCATTCTCCGTCTGTGCTGCCACCATCGGAGGATAATGTAAACAATCGGTATATACAAATACACGGGTTTAAATAGGGAGTATACGAAGAAAACTTTATTTGATTATTCTAAAGTGTTAGGAAGTATAATTTGAAAAAACCCAATAACCATCTAATTACGCCCACCTTTACGCGTTAACATTTTTTCGGCAATTTTATTAACATTTGAAATTGTCTGAGCACAACGCGACGCCCAGTTCGAGTTTTTTTTCACTTAATTTTCACTACCCGAAATAGCGTTACATTACACAAATCTCGTACTTAAGTGTTTTATATATTAATAACTGCACTAGCAAAAAATTAAAATAATTAAATATTATGAAAAAGCCACGATTTCAATATTATTTAAATGGGATCAACATGAACTGTAACAGGAACGGCGTAAAATATATAGTGAAAATTTCTGATTTCTGCCGTATACAGCGCTGCGGTCGTAATTTTTTGAAATCGACTGAAATTCACCAAGCCTATAAATATGGTGATACATTTCAAGTACCTATATGTGAGGGTTTCATGTTAAGCTTTTAAAAATTAATAATATTTTACATTACCATACACCTACTGGATTCGATGATCTTTTACAAAAATATGTTAAGCAACTCAAGATTTATCTTCTGATGTTCAACATAATTTTAATAAAAGCCGTTTGTATAGATATTAATAATTTTACATTAATTAAACACGTCTCAAATAACAGGTAATTAGATTTTAAATAACGGAACCCACTCAAATATTAATTTTAGAAAGTATTTGAAATCCTCTAAACAATATGAACTGATCTCAGACACACGTTAAAATGAATATTCGAGAAATAATGACGACGTAACGTTCAACGATCTCTAAACACACAATATTTAATAAATATTCGTAAAAATTATTACATGATCGAAATTATCAACTCACCTTGACCCTCCAACGCGTGTCCCACATTGTTAAAGAGCTTAGCGTTCCTCTGATTGACACTAAGCCCAGACATAAAAATCGTGTATTCGCTTTCCCAGTCCCAGTTGCGCACATATGTCTTGGCCCCGTGAGAAAATATCAGCAATCCGGCGCAGCACCAAGCCAGTTTCTTCCCGGCCTTTTTGCGCAGCACTTGCCAACCGTATCCCACCAGCAAGCAGAAACCCATGGAGGGCATGTAGAGAACCCTTTCGGCCACGACGAAGCCCACGGGGAAAAACAAATTGGAGGCAGGGACGAACGGCAGGACCATCAGCGACGTTCCCTGCAAAAGGAAAATTAAAAATGTTCGGTTAATTGAGAGAAAGAGGGTGAGCGTGTGCAGAGTAATGGGGAAAATAGGCAGAAGAACGACAAAACCGCAAATTAAGGGAGCAATCTGTGTAATTACAGCTAGCGGGACGTCGGCAATTTTGTTTCTAGATTAGGGAGTTTTGAGCATACACGATATAAACTTACTTTTGTATCTAAATTAGAGCCAGTGTAATGGCATGCATGATTACATCTATTATATAGTAATCAAGATTAAATTAACTGAATAGACGTGAACACAGAGAGGATATATTTGAAGGTATAAATTTAGAAAAAGAAACATTATGAGCTTTCTCTAGTATATGAATTTATCGATATTAGCTCCAACATAAATACGACCCTAGAGTTTTGTGAAAGCCTATATTCCTTAGTTTGGTCTCATTTCTATAATTTCTACGAAAATTTCTGAAGCGTGGTTCTCCTTAGGCGTAGTACATTTTTACAGTTCGTCCATCACAGTTCTAAAAAGCAATTATGTTTGTCTTTTTCCAACCATAAAAACTCAAATCAGATTTTTGAAGTAGCTATCGCCCTGTTTTACTGTGACATATTCAGGTTTATTGTAGTTCTCTTTCTTCTTATGATTTTTCGGTTTTGATAATTTCTTCTTCTGTGTCCATACAAAATTTTTCAAATGATAATTTTGTATGGACACAGTAATCAAGAAGATTGAACAGCTTGTAAATGCAGCTTATTTAAATATTATCTATTTATAATTACTTTATTCCCTAAATTCAAAAATATATAAGTCTCTGTTGTTCAGATTCAGAAGCCCACAACATGTAAAAAATTGTGTGTGCAATATGTGCGCATATTTGAAGTGAAACTTCTTTTTACTTTCGTCTGTCCGTCTGTACCTTTGTCCATCTGAGAACTCCATTACACGTGCCGAGTTTGGTTCCAATTGACTCATAATCCTGATAATTTCGTCCATTTAAAGGCAACGGTTCAAAACGCCGAGGGCGTCATACTGTAGCTCGTCCAAATTATACCGAAATCGACCCATAGTTTTCTTCAATAACAAATCCTTAGGGACGTATTTATAGTAGAGCCTCAAAACGCGACCTCAGTCACGAGATGTAATTTGCCTTTCATATCGCCAGTAAGATTAAAATCGCGATTTCAAGACGCTGTTTGGCCGGTTTTGTGACTGTCATTTTGGAGAGTTTCTTAACTTATCTTTTTTGACAATTAAATCATGTTAAATCGAAAATCGAAATCCGTTACAAAAATCATAATATATACAATAAGATATAATATAAACAATTTTAAATATGTTAGAAGAGTTTGAGGATATTTTGGAACACGTGGAAGAAGAAAATCGTCTTCCAAAAAGATATATCCAGGGTGCAGGAAATCCAACAGAAATGTTTAGCGAGGAGGACTTTAAACGAAAATATAGGTTTAACAAGGCATTACAGAAACTATTTTACATTTTGTAATTGAAGACTTACCAATCGTGATTTATCCATTTTCCCCGTTATTCAATTACTAATTTCTTTACGTAACTGCATATAAGAAACATTTAATTAAAGTAAAAACAGACAAAATCCCGCCAAAAAATTTGAGGTTAATGTTCAAATCTCTTCATTTTAACGATTTTTTCTTGTGCCTTTTATCACAAATTTCCTAGATCAACAATTGACTGAAATCTCGGTAAAATAATATCGGTAAAACGAACTCAGTCGCAAAAATCAAAGACGATCTCGCTCGAAATCCCGGTTCGACACTCGACTATAAACAGGGGCCTTAGTGTGGTCTAAGTTTCCCATCCTGATGAAGATGTAAACGAAACGTCGTATCCAACTTTGCAGGGTGGAATCATGTGCACCGTCGCGTCGCTCACATAGCCTACCCACTAAATTTGGTCGAGATCGACCGACATCAACTTTTGCCATTTCTTACGTCAAAAACACTGTCACAGTGACACGTGTAGTAGTAAAGTCGGCCTTGGTCCAATCTATCGACATACCAAATATCATTTAATTTGGACGATTTTTTGGTTTTATTTATTGATGATGGGGTTTCCTAGTACACGAACTGTTGTTAAAACATCATGAAAACATGGGATTCTTGGAGCCCCACCTACATTCCAAAGTTCACTCCTAGAGGGGTTATCTGAGTTAGAACTCAGATAGGGCGCATGTTATGACGCTCAAAAGACCCATCTCAACTTCCTCAGTGGCTTACTATTTTTTTCTCACCAGCTTTTGTGTCAAGGCCATGTCGTGTTATGGCCTTGAATCTTTACTCGCATCGCGCGTAAAGCAGTTTCACTTCAAAAATCGCTTAAGAAAATAACTGTATTGTAATCGCAAAACATTTTCCGATGCACGTTATCAATCATATCGACATTGACAATAATCCGACTAAATAAAATTTTGGCAAAAATGTTTAAATTTGTTGTATAATTTAAGATACCGGCGAACAGCTCTTCATTTTACTTTATAGAGCAAAATAAAGCTGCAAAAATTAGTTTAAACCGAATTTTATTAACGCAATGTTGGTCACATTGCGCCGTGTTCAGCAATGTTGTTCTTTATTAATTGACAATTTTATTATCCTAGTGTCGGTCATTATTTTGAATAATATCCTTGTTTATATATTCCTACAAGGATAATATCGTGTTAGTAATTCTCGTTTTTTGCCGATTTTCATTTTTTTTAAATTGTACTTTTAAGCACAAACAGTTCTTTTAAGAACTAAGTTTTCGAGTTTTTGTATTGCATTTCTCGAAATTGTGTGTTGAAAATATGCCGAAGCATTTAAACAGTCGAAGCAAAGAGATTGTAGCTTCCCTGTTTGTTTTAACTATTTTGAACGAGTTCGTGACAATAAAGGTCCTTTATTACCCTTGACTGCAGTCAGAAAAGTAAGTTTGATTGATAAGCACATTATACCACTTTCAAAGTTAGTTTTTATTAAATTCTGTGATTATTTATTTGTGCATTAGTAGCACCCTCTTACTTGATATTACCACTTATGGCGTTGTAAGATGTACATCAATAAATAAATAATCCATAATAACGCTTATAGTAATCTTCAAAATTGACTAGTTTTGCCAATATGTAATAAGTAAAATAAGATATAAAACAAATACATCAATTAATCACTAAAATATTAGTTATTAAATTAAAAATAAAACATAAAACTCTTTAAAAAATGATATAATAAATACGTTGTTTGTCAATTTTAAATTAAGATTCATCTCATAAATTCATCACAATCTGGCAGCGCCGCACAGTGGTTCAGATTGCCAAAAAGTGGCGCATAGGATATTTTTAATTTTATTACAAATTCTGGACTTAGTAGGTTTAATGGCGGATTTATTAACATGAGAAAGATAGTCCAAGGAATAAACAAAATATATTTCAGACTATGTTTATTTAGTATAAAAATATTAATAAATGGGGATTTTCTATGAATTTTATTCAAAAATTATGATTTGAAAAATGCTTCGAACCTAGTCAAAAAAAGAATACCCATTAAGTTAACTGGTCTAAATTAAAGAAAAAAACATAAATTGCAATATGCCTTAAATGGAGTCTTCAAACTCATTTTGTTCATGACATGATTCACCACCACTTTCTTCTAGTTCCTCTTCACTATCTGATTGACAATAATATTCGGACTGCTTATGCCGTCTCATTTTTATATTCCTTCCTTAAATTAACAACTGTAGCATATGCCAGAACTTCAGAGGTGTAAGAATCTCTAATTCCTAGAAATAAATTGATTTTTAATCTTTGCCATTAATTAAAATCAATAATGTAATATTTGCAGCATTATATAAAAAAAACATGTTTTTTTCTGTAAGATATTATAAATTAATTCCTTGGCAATATATACTTTTGATCTCTTTATTTTTTTGGGAGTTTTTGGGACAATTCTAAAAAAAACTAAAAATCTTGAAGGGCCAGGGTCATCTAAAGATTGATTTTCTTCCATTTGAAGTAAATTTTTATTCAGCCAGAGACAATTGTTGCTCCAAGTATAATTACATTTCCTCCACTTTTCTGACCATTTATAAGCAAAATTTTCAATTTGCTTTTTTTTTGATAATATGTTAAGAATATTATTATCACACAAAAATGAAATAATTTCATCAATAATATCCGCTTCTGACCTATTATTAAAACCCATTTTCAAAAACCTCTCACATATTGATCTGCGGCTTATTATTCCTAAAAATAAAAGGAATAGCGTACGGGAGGAACATGTGAGTCTCTATAGTTACACTTTTACCACTCCAGAGTTACTTAAAAAATATTAGTATAATAATTTAAGAAATTATCCATGGAACAAAAATAAGTCTACATGTCAATTTAAAATTCTAATTTATATATCATCTACCTCGGGGTCTCTTATGGTAAGATACTTGTGGTAAATTAAACTGGATATAATACCTTTTAAAAATTATAAAATGCAGAAGCGGAGATCTGCGGAGTTCTAAAGATACGCAATTTCAAAGTTTAATTTTTTTCAAAAAAAACGCTCCTACTATGTTTATGGTAACTACTCTCTTCATAAAAAAATATTTAAGTTAATAAAATTCTCTTAAAAAGTACTTACCTTGGTCTTCAAAATCCATTATAATTTAATTTATTTCCAAGTCTCTGAATTAAGAACCAAAATATATTAGCAACACTAAACCATTATCAGCAAATAACTGATATATTTAAACTACAAAATCTAACGAAAACAACATTCGTGTACACTTTTTTATTACGATTAAAAAGTGGATCGTGATAAATTTGAATAAAGGGACCCATCATCTATTGAAAATAATATCATTGTTGAAATTTTCGAAATTTTTTTCTTGACCCCTATGCGTCGATTTTTTTGAATCTGAACCAATGTGCGCCGTCGCCATCGTTTGTCACTCAAAGTTGATCACGTGCATCGTAAATTGTTTTGCCATTACTCATAAGTATTCTATACTTTTCTTTATTCTTTTCATATTACTAGAGTAAATGATTCATCCGTATTGCGTTGTTGAAACTTTAAAGTTATATACCAATTAAAATCGGGTCGAAGCCTCTTTCCGGTTCTTAACCAAATTGCCCTAGAAAACAAATTTATAAACGAGCTTTTGATAAATCGCGAATGTCGTAACAGTTTGGGCGGATGCCAAAAGGTCGTTAAAGAATTTATGCGTCATTTATTTGTAAGGTCTATAACTCAATTGTTCCGATAATATTGGAGCTGTTGTTGATTTGATGGTATGTGAACAGACTGACCGTTATATGCGATGAACGCTGTAAAATATTATAGTCATATTTTTACATAATTCTACTTATCTAACTGAAATTACCAAACCAATACCAAATGCTTAAGTAAGGGCTAATTACAATATTTAATAAAAATACAATTGACATATAACACAAAACTTGCATAAGACAACATAATCTAAATTACATTTAGACTATGTTAAGTTTTGTGGATCATAGGTTTTGTAATAAAAATTTTAAGAAATTAATATACAGGGTGGTACGGATTGTAATCGTGAAACTTCGGCAATATATTCTGCAGAAAAAAAGTAAAATTTCGCATACGGAGATAGGACTTCTAGAAGTTTTATTTTTTAAGTATTTTTCAATAATAAGTTGAACAGTAATAAGTAATATAAGGACTAATATGAATATTTGGATAAAAATTGGTGTACGGGTGATTTTCTTTACATGATAAACTCGATTTCGGTGTTAGTTGAGATTAATTTTAAAAACGCGCTACCTACATATTTTTTTACTTTTCGTCCGTACCAGATAAAATAATATACATTTCCTCCGCCATTTTTTAGGTAAAAAAAGATCTCTTGACAAAAAGTCCTACAAGAAACCGTTTTCAAGATATGTAGTAACGAAACGAAATAATCAAAACATGTCAAATTGGCAAAAAATAAAAATGGGCACTAGAGAGTTATTAGACTGAAATAATAAATTTTGAGATGTTTTTCTGTCAAAGGTTCAAGAGGAATTGTTTAATCATAAATTTTTCTAGAAAAATTTATTATTAATTTAAATTAATAAAACGTTTCCAAATTCATAATTTCAGTCAAATAACAATGAAGTCAACTTTTTTTTGCTTATGTTGACATGTGTTGATCATTTGGATTCTAAATATTTTGTAAATTAATGTCAATAGCGGTTTTTACCAAGAGAGCTATTTAAGTAAAAAACGGCGGAAATTTACCGTTTTTCTTTCTAACTAGCGTAATATAGATACAGACAAAAAGTTATTACTCTTCAAAACAGTTAAAAAACATGTAGGTGCCGCTACAAGTAGGAGTCGTATTGATATCGAAATAAAATTTCTCATGTCAAAAACCACCCAGACACCAATTTTCATCCAAATATCGACGTTAGTTCAGAAATTAGTTGGAAAACCGAAATAAAGATGAAACTTCTTCACACTAGGCATGTATCTCGGAAACAAATCGTTTTAAGACATAAATTTATAGAAACATTTTTACTTCTTTTTATCTGCAAAATAAAATACTAAACCACCACACTACACCAAAACACTTTTACTTTTACACTGGACGCGCGTTTCGCTAACCATGTTAGCATCATCAGCAGATGATTATAAACTCAACTCAGTTTATAATCATCTGCTGATAATGCTAACATGGTTAGCGAAACGCGCGTCCAGTGTAAAAGTAAAAGTGTTTTGGTGTATATGGTGTTTTAGTGTTTTATTTTGCTGTGTAACATCAAAGGTTCCAACCCTCAACTGTAATCTTCTTTTTATCTGCTGAATAGGCTGCCAAATTTACCCTAATATAATTCTAATAACCATGTATATTTTCTTTAATTTACCAACTATTTATTTACTTTTAGTATAATTTTTTGAACGTTAGTACTGGAAAAATAAAATAATTTGCTTAAATTTTGCAAATGAAAATGTAAATATCAAGATCATATGCCCACGTTACATTACTAATTCACACCATAACTAAATAACATAAAAACTAGTTAAAGAGTTCTACTTACTATAATCAATACGACACTTTGCTGCTTATTTTTCGTTTTGAACGCTACCCATACCAAGGCTGCAATAAAGAAATACGTGCTAAGCGTTGCCATATTTCGCATGTCGGTAAAGGACTCCACCAGCGGAACTGTTCCCATCGTCCAATCGCAGCACAGATCGCAGGGAAAGAGCATCAGCCAGAAGTTCACGCCGATCAAATAATGATAAGTGAGCTGGCGCGTTGGGGTTGGTGCCACCGATGCCGGATTATCAAAACGCGTAAACACTGGCAACTGGGAGCCCATAATTTGCAACCGGCCTAAGAGCAGTATAAACGTAGTGACAGCCAGGGCGGCCAAGCGTTTGGTAGGTCCGTTCGATTTGGGAAAATGATAACTGGATTTTGTGCTTAACGCTGCCTTGACGAATTCCTTTACGTGATTAGGCCTAATCTAAAAACAAACAATATTTAGAAAAAGGGAAAAAATTAACTTAAAGCTTCCTAGGTCAGGAAAAATACTTATCCGTCTTAGAGGAAATTTACCAAAGCGGTCCTCATAATGGGGCAGTTGCCGAATTTGACAGATGTGTATTTTCCTTGACCTGGCAAGCCATAGAATTAAGGGGGTAATTCTTGCACCTATTCTAAGAGGAAAACTTCATATGAAAGTATGTCCTAACCATTTTAATTTCCGATACAGGGTGGTAAAACTTTCTAAAAAATCCTTTTTTTCATAATAACTCTGATTTTATTATAGATACCTTTATGAAACTTGATGCACGTCTTCTGTACATCAAAATACCTTCTATACAATACATTTTGATGTAGAAAGAATTTATTTAAACGAGTGCCGTCCATACGGGTTTTATATTGAATATTTTTGGTGAAAAAAATGATTTCTCTTAAAATAGAAATTATTTTCAAAATGTCCATTCATTTCTAAACATTTTTTATCTCTTGATTTTTTTAGTCCGAGGTATAGTTTTTGCTTAAAAAAATTAAAGTCAGTTCACTTCAGAGTCAAATCGCAGAAAACTGATTTGGTGACTGCTGTGTGGAAATTATTGCTGCATCGGCTGGAAGGAAACTAAGAAATAAAACAATTTTTTGTAGATCAAAATAAGCATTTCGATGCATGGAAGGCGTGTATCAAATATATCATCAGAACTATTTTGAAGAAAATAGAAAATTTTACCACCCTGTGTCTGAAAAGTTAAGATGTTTAAGACATATATTTTTTTCTAAGAAATAAGTCCAAGAATCACCAAGAATCACCTCCTTAAATATTAACATGTCATTAAGGAACACCCTGTATATTGAGTGAAATTTGTTATATTAAGTACCCCAAGATGGTTATTTCTTAAACAAGAAAAGATTAAAACTAAACAAAGGAAATTCATATTGATAAAACGTGTCACAACTTTATTTAAAATATTTTTTGTCTACAAAATGTATTAATTTCATCTTAAATAAAATCGCCAGTTCAATATTTTTTACTTAGTTATTTCTTGTGTGTGTTGTTTTCAAATCGTATCAAAAACTGAAATTATTTATGAAAGAAGAAGAAGAATGTAGATAAGCAGGATTATTTTTATCAGCAACATAGGCCATTCAGCAGTTTATATTAATATGCACTACATTTAATTAATTTGGTATGTTTAGTACCTATGGAAGAAACTTAATCAAATTTAAATCAAATCTAGAATGCCACTTTATCTAAAGAATTAAACTGCAACTAGACCAATGTGTACTACCATGCATGCAAAACCTGGACACTTCAAACGAACATTATAAGGAAACTGCAGGTCGCACATCGCTCAATGGGACGAAATATGCTGTAAATATCCAAGAAGGACCATAAAAGAATAGTGTGGATACGACAAAAGACCCAGGTAATAGATGTCATCCACAGAATCAAATCCCTCAAGTGGCAATGAGTAGGACACCTGGCAAGAAGGACGGACTACAGAGGGACCACAAAAATTACAGCATGATACCCACGAGGAACTAAGAGACCTAAAAAAAACCAAACCTGAGATGGGACCATGATATTAGGAAATTAGCAGGGATAACTTGGGCCTGCATAGCTAACAAGGGATGACAATGGGTCCATGTACAAAGTGAGTATATAAATATGTGAGTGAAGAAAGCTACACCGTAATTGGAATGGAATAAGGATGTACTTAATGCTACAAGGTGTGACAGTTTTCGCAAATTGGAGAAGTGAGACCTTTCACCAGTACACCTCATCACTGAGTGCGCCGAGACGACAACCATTCGTGCTATGAATTTTGGTACGACTGATATTGGAGATGGAGAACTACCCTCTATAAAACCGTCCCAGATACTGGCTTTTGTCAAAGCCCTGGGACTGTATGATGAGTTATAATTCAAGAAAGGGGGACACAATGGATCTGGAAGGTCGAAGTGATTAACCCCCCTCCCACTCAGTCTAAATTCTAATTCTAAGTGAGACCTTTTATTAAAATTTTATGAGTGGATTTATATTGAACTGGTATAAGCACGTTAATAATGTCTGTTCTGCTTCGATTAAATGCAGAAATGAGATCGCCACTGAAAATATGTCCTTTTAAAGTCCTTCTTAATCCCTCTTAATGTAAAATTGCTACAAAGCTTTAAAAAATAAATCGCAAATATAAATTCTTTGTTTAAGTGATCAAACATTTACTATTACTGTTTTCTTCAACTTGAACACCAAGCTTTTAAATTAAAAAAATAGTGTATATTTTCTTAAGTTTAATAAATATGATTAACGTATTTACTGACATCATTAAGTTTATTCCATTTTCAAACACAAGTTTTTTTAATGAAATTATCTTCAAAAACTCGTTTAGAAGACAGAGAATCATAAAAAAACTACTTAACTTAAAATGACAAAAAATCTTTCTTTATGGGGCGATAAAATCAGAAACAAAATTGGATAATAAAATCGAACCTAAATCAACATACTTTAAAAGAAAAATTCCCTGCTTTTTATAAGAAAGACTTAAGAGAAGATATTTTATATAGCAAATAAAATTGAATATCCAAAAGCGTACAATTTTTTTTGTGCCAAAATATTAACATAATTTTTTATTTAATTTATTCTACATTTCAAATTCATGGATTTATCGTAAAATCCGATTACGCTATTATTTTGTTGTATAAGCATTGACTGAAGAAATAAGATGGGCAACCTTATGGGCGATTTCGTGGCTCAAAACCTGTCCGATGTGTAGCTAGCGTAACCATTCACCTTGTCCGATATTTAGTTTACTTCTGCGCGCTGATAGTTGTTTACAGCGCAGCGGTTAAAAAAACTGTAAACTATACTGTAGTTTTCCTTTTCGTCGACAGACTGAGTGGTTGCCGGAGGTAATGTTGCCAGAACTACTGATAAATCCGTAGATTTGCGGATTTTGGGTACAGTACGTTAATAATAGGGATTTTGTAGCATTAAAAAATTTAATATAATATTATGTATAATATGATTAAACAAAGAACGGCGTCAGAGTTGGCTTGGAAATGAAGATCGTTGTTTTATCTTATATGTAAAATATCATGGTAAATGTCAATAATGGTGATTTCTAAGACAACCGAACGACTTGTTTCGACTATACGACGTATTCACTACCTCCCTATAAAAGAATTTTTATTTTTGTTGTTTATTCTATGTTTAACACAAATAAATTTTCGATACATAAACGGGGATTTTTCACCCAAAGATATTTTCTTCAAACGTATTACAGATATTACACATTTTAATATGCCAACACTGTCGCTTTCAGTTCCACAGAGTCTTCGATAAGCCTTCGCAAGCCGAATTAGAGAAAATAAGTGTTTTATGCGTTGACTGTAGAAGGATTGGTGTCTCCACCATCTATGTATGTATGTATCTCTCCACCGTACATCAATCGAGACAGTAAGGGGCATAGGGACAGTAACCAAATCAAATGTGCTTTTGTCACGAATTCGCCCATCAGGCTGCGTATATTCCAAATTCTTTAATTCAACGGTAAAAGTAGTAAAAGAATAGTAAATATTAACTCCATTAAATATAATTCAAAATATTTTAAATATTTTTGAAATACATACATCTATCCAAAAAAATCCAATATGGATATTTCGCCACTACACTGCAAGAAAATCTACAAAATAAAATAGTTATTTTTTGTAAACACTTCTGCGTTAAACCTAAACGGAAACTGTTTGTCAGAAGTAATGTTTACAGTTATGTTTGCAGTGCAGTGCGATAAAAATTAAAAATATATTTTTTTATACCAACAATTGTGTCACACTTCAAAAAAAACATCGAAAACTGTTTATGATATAAACAAAAATACCTGTTAGAAAAAATCTATATTTTAGTGATGCCAATTAACAGAGTATTAAAACGAAAATATTTACACAAAATCCAACAAAATTGTGTGTATACAGTTTAAAAGCTACTACCAATATGTTGTTTTGTGCATTTATAACTATTTTAATTTATAGTTTACATAACAGATAGTTAAACATTATCCGACAGAAAGAATAAAAAATTGAAGAATTTAATTAAGACATCATCAATAAGCTTGTTTGTATAAGTAAATTATTAAGTCATATAAAATTATTATCAAATGGTTATATCAAATTAAATATAAAAAACAAAAACATACCTTTTGAACTACGAATATTTCGTAAGCTGCACATACTCCAGCAACTGTTATTCCTTGTTCTTTACAAAGCATAGCCGTTGCCGTAGCAATCATAGACAAACATAAATACTTCCAGCCTGTAAAATAAAAAAATGGTATCACTTTTTTAAATATTAAATACTACTGTTAATAATAATAAACAATTATCAATACTAGTATGTCTTTTATACACTTAAGGGATAAAAATTAAATGTATTGTATATTTTGCAGATTATATTTTAAGTATGAATTAAGTAACTTCAATTACTACTCAAAATTTAAGTATACCTTAAATACGTATTAGTTTCACTTTACTAGAATATTTTTATAATTTTAATTTTTATACATATAAAATATAATGTCATAATAAACAATTTTTAATATATTTATGTAAATTTGATATGACAATACGTTTAAAAATGCAAACTACTTATTTAAAGTAATCAATTTCATATAATTTAAAAATAAAGGGTGTATATAAATAAAAAACGCACTACTAAAAGATGTAAATAAAATTAGAACAAAGTAATTGGAAGTATTTTAACTCTTCTTTCTTTTAACGGAATAAAAAACTTAGGTTTACATAATTTATGAAGTCTTGATACACATATTCTCTAGCATATAATATTTTTTAAATAATTTTCCAGCAAATATTTTTTTTAAATGTACCCTTATTCATTCTACGGTAAATATATTTTTTATTCACACGTTACAAAAGTATTAGTTTATGTCAAGTGATTGAAAATATAAAAAAGTCATTTAAAGTAAAGCACTTTCACGCCTAAGCATAAAAGTACAAAAATATATTATTAAACTGACATAAAGTGTCAAATTCAACGAGCGTAACCATAGTTTCTCGGTATATAATTACAGGCAAGGTATTACTTTTATTTTTCATTTTTATTATATGGAACGTTTAAAATTGTTTAAAAATTATTTGTGACGTTTGAAAAAAATAGCATGTTCTATTCGGAGTAAAAATAACTTTTTGTGTCTCGCCTGTTATGCCGGACGTACAGCCTCGCCGGCGCCGCAAGAAATATCATTTTAACTCCTAATATAACAATATATTATTATAATGTGGTACTTTCACTTACCTGTATATTTCTTATATTTTGTTGCCTTTGAATAAAAGATAAAAGCAGCGAGAAAGAAAACCGATGAGAGAGTTTCTGCTCTGCCGACTACTCCTGTTACCTAAAAAAAATATTTTAGGTGCCCTGTCAACTATATTTTAATGAGATAAAATTACATGTTTTTATTAATTTTAAATTTAAACAAATACATATACAGCAATTGAGCATATATAGAGTATTGTAGCTAAACGATTAGATTTTTACAAATCGTAAGTTTTGGGTATGTTGAAGAACTGTTACAGCTACAATTTAAAAATATTTTTACAAGATACAGAGTGTCCCAAAAAAGTAAAAAATATTATAGTTGTATTTTATTAAACGGAATACCCTGTATAGTATTTCATTTTCAGATTCTACGATTGAAATGAAAGTAAATTTGATTAAGGTTTATCACACTTAAACCTTACCGTTTTTGAAATATTTTCAATTTTATGTATTTTATATATATTTTTTTTTCAATGAAAGTAAATTTGATTAAGGTTTATCACACTTAAACCTTACCGTTTTTGAAATATTTTCAATTTTATGAAATTGCAGTAAAAGTTTTAATGTTTCATTTTTCCAAGGGTATCGAAGTTTTTAAGGCTAAATATTTACTGAAGTTTATATATATTGATCAGATATTGTGTTGCAATAATAAAAATATTACTAATAATAAATAAATAATAAAAATATTACTACCTCATACAGCGTGTCTAAAAATTTATTTTAAATAATTTCTAGCTTTTTTTCGCTTATTCCAAAAAAAATGTTTAAATATTTTTAGTTAAATTGGACCAATTAATATGTATTCAAACCCAGTATTCAAACTGCATTAATTGACTGTTTATGTTGATTAGTAATATTGAAAAACTGAATTTTGTATGTGTATTAGACAGTGTGGTAAGAAGATGTAACAATTTATAAATTTTATTTAATTTTTTGAGGAATGCTTATTTATAACAACAGGCACGTTCATTTTGATAACTTATTATTGTATTGATTTCTGAGCCAAATCCACATTTATTTAGAATAATTTATTAATTAAAACAAGTAAGGATGTAATTAACTAATTTCTGGGCGGAAATAATAGTGGTATATTTATAATTAATAATAATTGGTATACTCTTACAAAGATTTAAATAATTTTCTTTTTGTAAACAAATGGGCTGGCAATATTATTATTTTTACCACCTGTACATTTTATACATATGTTGCTTTAAAAAAATCTAAAATGTCAATATTCCATGGGTATAGTGATAAATGAAGTCTAAATTATAAGAAAATGCATTTTCTACGAAAATTTGAAGAGATAGGTAAGAAATGGTATAACACAATTTGATAGACAATTAAATTGTGCATCTGATTCACGTAAAATATGAAATCATCTTAGATCATCAATCTTAGAATCTAAAAATAGAATAATATACAGGGTGTCTCATTTAAAAAATACAACTATAATATTTTTTACTTATTTGGGGCATCTTGTAAAATTATTTTTAAATTGTAGCTCTAAGAGTCCGTCAACAAACCGAAAACTTACAATTTGTAAAAATCTAATCGTTTAGCTACAATACTCCGTGTCGTATGTTGTGAACAACCCTGTATACATTTGAAAAATGCATTTGGATTTTGAATTCTGTTTGAAATATATTTAAGTTTGTCATAAATTTTCTGCACATGGATAAATGTATTTGAGAACCTTCGATAAAAATATAAAATATTAGTTTCAATAACTATTCTGCAGTAAATTTATTTTCTAGGTGCTATATGCAACTATATTTTTCATGTTATGACCTATATATCTTTTATTATTGATTTACTGCATACGGTGGCAGAAAAATACACAAAAATAATTTACCAAAAACGTGCATAAAATATTATGTCCTTTTGTAAGAATTCCATTCTGCATGAGTAAGTGCGAAATCGATTCAATCTAATTTATAGATAAACCTATTTACCCGACTAAAGTACTAATTTTATTTCAATTTCAGTTTGTCTTTCTAAACTAAAACAATAAAGAACTAACTAAAATGTATTTGTGGTTTTTCTATTTCCGGTTGTAAAGACAATAGAGGTAACCTTTCTATAAACCTCAAATTAGATCTAACTTGACAACAACAATACGAATAGAGTATAAAGTAAGAAAAAGGTCTCCAGGTAAGAGAACAAAACCCTTATTTTCTGTCGCTTCTACTATATTTTTAAAGACGAGTTCCAGGGCAGTAATTCTTTTAGTAATCAATTGTCGGTTTAGGTTCTATTGATATATACCGTGTGTTGCATCGCCGACCTGGACATAGGAATTCCATGTAAATTTTAAAAATCATGAATAAGTTTTCTCCATTTTATTTTACAGAAAAAATTATTAGGATTTTCTAAAGAGTCTATTACGCTGTACTTACGGGTTGCTCTGAGGGGTCGGGTAAAGCGGGTGTTTGGCCGAAGAAAATATATATTATATTTCAGAAATCTGCCTAAGGCTTAGCCTGATCCTGTCGTGTTAGACCACACCCAAAATTCCAAATACACGTGCTTTGATTAAGGTTTGATTAAGATTTGCAGAGCTTCGACAAAAACCCAAATATTTAAAAAACGGTAAGGTTTAAGTGTGACAAACCCCAATCAGCGAGCAATTTGTTACAAAACTATATAAATTATATATCACTGTAATCACAAAACTTCAATCTATTTCCATATTGTAACGGAATTTTAAATTATGTTTTTACTTTAAATTTAGTCCAAACATAAGGATTATTTTGTTGATGTTTGACTATCAAAATCTTAAAAATTAAAGAAGTTGTCGAAAAATGTGCTACAATACGAATATAGTATAATCCTTTATCTTTAATTTCCTTCTTCATTTGTGTAAAACTACCTAATCAGTTTTACATAAAACGTTAAATGCCAAACGCTTTTTCGGACTAATGAAATGGACTCTTAAAATGAAGTAAATTATTCATTTTGCATAGTTTATACGAATTCGTTCTTGAGTTATGAGAGATACAAAAATACTAAATTTGGCAAAAATTTAAAATAATACGGTCCTGATCAAACAAATATAACAATCACAAGTCATGTCACAATATGACAAATCCATTGTAACTTTCCTCTACTGAGATCTGTCTAACATATTCTCAGTTATATTCTCTATGAAAAGTTACAAAAAGTCAACTGTAAATATAGATTCGTAGATAAGTAAACACATTGCTCCAAAAAAGAAACTTTATTTATTAAACACTAAAAAATTCACAAAATTAAGTATTTTTTAACATGAAAAAATGGCGATTTTTCCCTACGTTCTTCACCCCCGACCAATAATTCTTGGTCTTTTTCGTCATTTTATATTTACAGTTTTTAATAACTATTCGTGTTGGAATTATTCTTCTCTTACATTTATAATTTTCAATATCTGGTCTGGCATATATGGGAAATGTACCGAAAATAAATCCTTTACAGCTTGTACCCTTTTTCGTCCATAATACCACTAAACCATTTTTTTTTTCTTTAGTGGTGTTATTCATATTTACAAATTATATTCAGCACGTATAAAGTGAATATGACATGAACATTTTTTTAAAAATAATGTTTTAAAATTATTTTTGGTAAAAATAAAGTCAATTTGACATTAGAAGATTGAATTGGAAGGTAGCATGTTTGATATTCTAATCAGGACCATATTATTTTTTTGAGAAATTCAGTATTTTTGTATCTGTCATAACTCAAGAACGAATTAGCATTCAAAACGAGCAATTTGCTTAATTTTAACGAGTTCTTTAAAAAGTTTCAAATATTTTTTGTGTAAAATAAAATGGGGAAAACTTATTCATCGTTTTTAAAATTTACATTGGATTTCCTATGTCCCAGTCGGAGATACAACAGACTGTATAAAGCACGATCTTCATCTCACAGCTATCGCTGATGCACCTTTTTTTCGACCATACGGTGTTCATTTTTGAAAACTAGTTTCATATCTCATAATGTTTTTTTACTATTACATGCATCTCTAATAGATTTCGAGTTAAAAAAAATTAAACGTGTAAAATTGACAGAAACATGATCCTGAATAATAATCGGTAAAATAATAAATTGAGCATATTTAAAGTTCAGATTTTAGTTATATGTTAAGAAAAGTCGATATATTCTATGTGTCTAAAGCAAACAATTAGATATCACAGAGGGAGGAAAAGAAATTCCGTTTCTTATAAAACAGCTGCAATGTGCGTTGTTTTAAATTAAACCATATTCGTCGGCTTTATGACGAAAAGGCGTATCTCGATTTTTGCTACTTTTCAGGAGAGCAATTTAAAGAAAATCACTTACTTTATTTGGTCAATAAATGTAAAGTCTTTAATTTTTTAATAGTGTTTTTGTATTAACACTTAAACGGAGACATTGATGAAACGTTCTGAAGATAAATTGTGCGTAAATTCTAATAAATAATTTCTTTTTAGTTGTTTAATAGAGATAGGCCTTTTTGTTATAATAATAATAAATTTATTTCCGAACAAATAGTATACATACGCCCATATAAAATAAATTTAAAAATGATGGTAAAGTGTTCTTAATAAGGAAAAAAAATACAATATTCACATTATGGAATACATACAAGAAAATACAATATACATACAGAAAAAATCTGAAAATCACCAAAAAATCAGGAATTTATTCGCGTTGGATTAAATCAACTGAAAACAAAGACAATTTTCATTCCAGAAGTAAAGACAATAATCAATTAAAATACACTTATCTAGCTTATTTTAATAACATTGTTTTTTATACAAAAATAATTTATTTTAATTAATATATTTTTAGTAATTATTCAGTTAATTGAGGGCATTAATACAAGGCATTTAAACTCACGGTCCATTTAATAAAAACCAAACTAAACAAAAACAAAACATGTTTCTTCATTCGTGCCTTTTTGATACAAATAACTGTGGACTAACAGTTTCTGTTTTCCCTGTTCAATGATAACAAATTCGACTTCCATTCTACGTGTTTATGCAGGATGATGATAGGCACAATAAATAAAATTTTCCAAAAATTGACAGGGATAACAATGCCAATGACCTGACAGTGATAATAGGATAAAAATTATTGTATTTTTAGGGCAAGTTTTTGGTTCGCTAAAATGTTCTTAGGGAAATTATAATTTCGGGAATTTTTCGATCAGGGCAATTTTCGTTTCATTGTTTTGCTGTCGATTCGACTTCCATTCTACGTGTTTATGCAGGATGATGATAGGCACAATAAATAAAATTTTCCAAAAATTGACAGGGATGACAATTCCAATGATCTGACAGTGATAATAAGATAAAAATTATTGTATTTTTAGGGCAAGTTTTTGGTTCGCTAAAATGTTCTTAGGGAAATTATAATTTCAGGAATTTTTCCATCAGGGCAATTTTCGTTTCGTTGTTTTGCTGTCGATCAATCCAAATTTTCAAAAAAAAATCCTGTTCAAATCATCGGTTCTCCATAAATGTCTAACGTGCCATCACCGTGAATCACCTTATATACTCGTATCACACTTAATAATAGGATTTAAAACACAATTAGACATTTTCTAGGCGCTCTGAAATCTAGACGTATTAAATGACTATTTATTACTAATTTCTTTCTTTTTAGCCAATTTTCGCGAGACTAGTGGATCATTACAAATTAGTTAAGTGTCATCAGAAAAATATATCAAGAGAAAACACCACATAATTTTATATTACAGAACAAGTATGTATATCTTAAATCAGCACAGAAATAAATACACTGACAGAGAAAATATAATTTTAGCAACTTATCGAGTGATAAATGTTAACCAATAAAAAATGTACCGTTAAAAGTATAAAAATACAAAAAGACTGTTAAGCCTTTGCCAAGTTCTCGAAACGGATATATTTTTGAGAGCGCTTGAGTTAACGTACAATAATTCTTCTTAAGGGCTTTTGTCTATATTTTTCTTTTATGTTGAATTTTATATTACTGAATTTTAGGCGGGACTGTCTTAGGAATGGCATTTTTCTTTTTAACATTAATTTTATTTTATGATCGCTAAACGTCTTAAAGCAGGCGACTTTCCCTAAAACTAAATAACTATACTTACTGCTTCTGTGTGTATTGGATGTACCGCAAAAAGCATTGCTGATATAAAACTGGACAATTTGGGTAAGAACATTGTACACATTCTGGAACAAACAAAAATATATTAGTATAATAAAATGCAGTAATTAATAATATAGAGATATTATAAAAAAATAAAAATATATCACAGCTAAACCAAATTTAGCAAATTTAAAAATATTCATTATTTATTGTTAAACTTTGTGTGATATTATACTCTAATTTTGAATTTTATCATTTTCTGGTTCTATATTTTTTACCAAAATATTAATTAAAAACAAAACATTGTCTGAAATCCGATATATATTTTTTACAAATTAATATCTTTTCTTGTATGTTCACTTATTTTATAATAATGAGAAGATGTGAAAGAACCATCATATTTAAGTGGATATGGAAATAGAAGTTCGCTAATCATTAATCAATTTTATATAAAGAAACACCTCACCACGCAAAAATGTGGTTGAGTGATCGAAGTAGGATTGTAGAATAATTACACTATGTCATATTTTGTCAGCACCCAAGAAGTAATTAGTATCACTGCTGCAAATTTGTTCTATTTTATTTTCCTAGAAACTTCCAATTTATATATAATAAAATATTCTTATTCACCATTATATTTGGTGCAATTATTTGTAATAAAATTTTGAATAATTTTCTAAAAGTTTATATTTTTAAAAAAATTGGTATATATAATTTCGGATGCAGAGTAAAAACACTCGCAGTGTTCAATATTTATATACGTTTACACTTAAACACTGCTGAGCTCTTTAAAATTTTATATAACATAATTAAATATAAATATGATTTGGAAAACATCTCTAAATTAATTAAATCCAGGTAATGTTTTTTTTTTTAATTACTCTGGATTCCCATTAATTTTATGAAAAAATCGTTTTGAAAAGATGAAAGAAATGTTAACCATCCTAACCATCTTATCCTGGTCTTAATAATCCCTCGCCTCTTCAATAAAGTTGACTTCTAGTTAAAAAACTCTCGTAGATTTATGGCTTTATTATTAATTAAAGCCAAAAGTTCTTTAAAAATAATTAATTGATAATTAAGCTTTTGCCCCACAGCTCAGGCGACAAAGATTAATGAATGCTAAGTAGAAATTTGTATATAATTATGCTTAAGCATTGGGCCACTTTTTAATTATTTTCTGATGGGTTATTATCAATAAGAAAACATCTTATAAAAAGAGCAAAACGACAAAATTCTATAAATTAATTCAAATATAGTTTTTCTACTACTCAGAAAAAAGATAGCCTGCTCTATAATTAATATTCTTGAAGTTATTTGGAAAATATCCTATATTATACAGGATGAGTCTTTAAAAAGCTACTGTGAACCACGGAAAACACAAATTTTTCTGCGGAAATGCGTAATTTCCAAATTTCGCATTTTAGAATAAATGAAATCTGCCATAAAAAAAATACATTTTGCGTTTTATTTTTAATATTTTTCTGAACACATAAACACAAAAATTTTCCTGCGGAAATAAGCTGTTTTCATTTTGTACGGAAATTTATTAAACTTTAGAATAGCTGAAATAAGTTATATAAAAAATAAATATATTTTTGCCTTTTAGAAGCATTCACGAATTGAGGAAAATAAAAAATTTCCTGTGGAAAGAAACAGTATCCAGGAAATTTAATAGACTTTAGAATAGCTGAAATCAGTTATATGAATAATAAATATATTTTTGCCTTTAAGAACCGTTTACAAACTCAGGAAAATAACAAATTTCCTGCGGAAATGCTTGATTTTCATTTTCCATTTGTTCCTTATTATATTATGGGGTCTTGTAAAGTATAAGCACCCACGAATTTAGCAATTTTTTTTGGCAGAAAGTCCTATGCTTATAGAACAGTTTAAAAGAAAAAATCCTTGGATGAAGCACTTTTGAAACAAAAAAATAATTTAAAAGTGTCTAAAATGCTAACCAATCTAATATTTTTGCAAAATCACAGTTAATTATTAAAATATACAAGAAAACTGCACGATCCAATGATTTTTTGTTTTGAATCAGCCCTATTTACGTAAAGCTTAAAAAAAACAAGAATACGTGCAACATTCCGAGCTACTTATAGTTTACAAGAACCTGTACTATCTATTCTACAAGAATTGTTATTCCTCCGATAATGTTTTACCCCACCCAGCACCCCTACTCGCTCCCGGGTCCCGTAAGCTTCTAAACTGAAAAATGTATGAATAACAAAGTGCACAAAATGACATTGACACATTTCCGCAGGAATTTTTTTGTATTTCTTTGCTCCTAATGGCTCGTATAAAACAAAGTTCATTTTTCATGTAACTGATTTCGGCAATTCTAAACTCAAAACATTTTTTTATATAAAATAAAAATAAAAAATTTCCGCAGACACTTTTTTGTGTTTTTATGTTTAGAAAAATATCTAAAACACACCTCGAAGACTAGTTTTGATGTAACAGATTTCGGCTATACTAAAGTCCGAAAAATGAAAATGATGCATTTCCGCAGGAAATTTTTTGTATATTTATACTCCTAATGCCTTCTAGAACGCATATATAAAGTCATTTTTTATATAGCAGATTTCAGCTAACGAAAGTTAAGCGGCAAATATTTTTAGGGGTTGTATATTCTAACCCCAGAAATACGTCTATGAAGTTTTTTTCGCAAAAAAAAATGAAAATTTGGATTTTTTTTTAATTTTTAGTTAAAAAACTTAATATCTTCATGATATGAAAACATAGGTAGTATGTTAAATTTACAAAAAAAAAACTAGAAAAGTTACACAGGTTCTCAAAATATAAGCGAAAAATATTTTTTTTTGGAAATTTTTTAAAGTAAAATAATTCGGTTTATTTGAAAAATGGCAAAGAGAAAATATGTTTCTTTTCTCGAGATCTACCAGCCCTCAAAATATTTGCACTTATATAAGAATCACCCTGTATAAGCGTTTTAATAAGATAGAGATTTATATAGACAAAAGTTATAAAATATAAGGCTTATTTTTTACTTAATTTTTTAATTAAAATTATTCAGTTATACAAAAATAAATAAGATAGTATTATAAACAAAGAGCTTCTTTAGTACTTGGAGAGAACAAACACTAGGAGGTTGATACAATTCTTTGGAGTATTTAGACTCTCAGCCCATTTATTTTGATTTTTTCTTCATCTATTTAGTTCTGTATTTTTTTACATGTCGTTATGTCCTGAAACGGCTATACAATTTTTACAATTTTTTTCTTGTTTGTCCACTTATTTGATAATAACGAAATAAGATGATAAAAAAACCATCATATTAAAACTGGATATAAAAATATAACTCTAAGAGCTCTAATTATTAATGATATTAATATTAAAAAAAATCTCACCAAACATAAATGTGGTTAATTGTTAAAAGCGGGCTAATTTGTGGAAAACTTATTTATTACACAATGTCATATTTTGTCAGTACCCAAGAAGTACTTAATTAGGGTCACTACTGAAAATTTGCTATTTTATACAGGGTGTCCCAGGTTGAGGGTGCATTAGAAGTTTCTAGAGAACTACAACATCTAGCACGGAGATTTTTTGCACATCATAGTTTCGCAACGAGATCTATCGATTAAAAATATTTTCAATATGGCGGCACTTCCGGAAATACCGGCAGTTCATAGCAACTTTCTTATTTTAAATGGGTACCCCTATTTTTATTACATACTTAAATTCTCTGTAAAATTTTATGAATTTTGATATCAAACACTCTGTACCTAACATTGACCGTTTTTGAGAAAAAAAATTGCCTGTCATAAATATGTGTATAGCTTAAACGTCAAATTTAGTGATTACCACAGCCAGTGTGCCATAAAGAGAAAAGATGTGGCTATCTATTTCAAAAATTAAATTCTTTAAATGTCATGTAATTATTATATGGCGGTAGCTGTCATGGAATTGAGCGATTAGAAAATTATCATAAATTATTTTTTTTTCAAATGGAAACTCACTTTTTTCTGTTTCACTAATAAAAAGGTTTTTCAATAAACCATACATGTACCTATACCTATAATAAATCGTTTTTAAGTTATTTAAGATTTAGTTTTAAAGCGTATATTTTTCTTGATTTTAACCAGTGGCCTATGACTTTAAACGTCAAGTGACGTAAAACAATAGATCTGGTCATGTCATATTGTGACGCTTTATTTAAAAAGCAGCATTATTTCCGAGCCAACTTTGCACTGTTTTCTTTTCGATCATACGAAATATTATTGTTAATATCAACTAAAGAGATATCACTAAAGAGCAAAAATACGAGATATATTTTTATAAATACACTTTTTAAACTCTTAAGGCAGGCAGTATTTATAATATAGAAAATTTAAATAATTCGTTTTCTGAGAGATGGAAATAAATTGTCTGACCGTTTGACACTTAATGTCAAAGGAAGCTAGATAAAATCAAGAAAAATATACGTTTTCAAATTAAATCTTAAATAACTTAAAAACGATTTATTTTAGGTATAGAAACATGTATAGTTAAAAAGTAACGAATTAAAAAAAAACTTTTCATTAGTGAAATAAAAAAAAGTTGGTTTCCATTTGATAAAAAAAATTATTTATGATAATGTTTTCAACGCTCAATTCCATGACAGCTACCGCCATTATTATATGACATTTTCACAATTTCATTTTTGAAATAGATAGCCACAAGTCTTCTCTTTATGTCACAGTGGCTGTGGTAATCATTAAATTGGACATTTAGGTATTACAAATTTTTTGACAGTCAGTTTTTTTCGTCCAAAATTTTTAAATTTTTTAAATATTAGGTATAGAGTGTTTAACATCAACATTCATAGATTTTTACAGATAATTTAAGTATGTAATAAAAAATGGCAGCACCCATTTAAAATAAGAAAGTTGCTGTCAACTTCCGGTGTTGCCGGAAGTGCCGCCATATTGAAAATATTTTTAATCGATAGATCTCGTTGTAAAACAATTATGTGCAAAAAATCTCCGATCTAGATATTGTAGTTCTCTAGAAACTTCTAAAACACGCTCAGCCTGGGACACCCTGTATACTTAGAAATTTTCAATTTGTT